TATATTCGCAATATAGGTGACCCTAACACTGGTTATCTATGATTTCGGACATCCCGAGATCCTTCGTGTCTGGAAATCCACAATACCGGGTTTCTATGACACCCCGGGCATCTAAAACACGCCGGTTATCCGTAATAAARGCTATCTATAACATCGGTTATTCGTAATACCGGATAGCCGTAATGACCGGGCATCTGTACTTACCGGGTATTTGTACTTACCGAGTATCGGTTATACCGGGTATCTGTACTCATCGGGTACCGGGTATCTGTGCTTATCGTGATATCTGGACTTTGATACCTTTTATCTGGTCTGGTATTGGTACTACCCCTATTCGGTAGTGGTAATGCCGAATGTTCGTAATGCCGGGTTTCCGCTGTGGCGGATTCGTGCTATTCACAAGGGCGTTTTTTTCTGAAATTCGTTGTGACTGACAATGAAAGTTATTGTATTTATTTATTTTTATTTTTTGAACTCAAGGTTGTTGCTTTGCCATCCAGTAAAATATTTGCACCTGCATTAACMGCAAGAACTTTTTTTCAARSAMRRGGTAAGAAGTGATGACCGTTATCAGTGGTRTTTYGTATCAAAAAATACTGATTATACAACCTGTGTTCCATTGTGTGAATACTTGATYAATACTAAAGGACCACTAGTACCCAAGAACCCTTGCGGTCGTTTGTTGATGAAAAGTGGCTTCGCGATTACGTGTTCAAAAGCAAAGATGGGAAAATAGTCTCCTTCACGGTTCCCTGCGGCATCTTGAAAGGTAGCCGTGCCTTTACATCGAAGCGAGACAACCGTTGAGCGTGCAACGATAGAAACCTTCTTTCACACCTACAGACAATTATTCACAGGTATCTATCATTGTACTCTCAACGGTCGTCTCTCTTCGATGTAAAGGCACGAGTACCTTTCAAGATGGCGCAGGTAACCGTGAAGGAGATTATAGCGCAAAGGTTCTTGGTTAAATGTGGTCCTTTAGGAAAAATAGTTCCCTCCCTTCTTAATGAGTCTTAAATGATGGATTGTAGTGTCGTCATGGTGATGTATATATTTTGTTTCTAAAGATATCCCAGAGGTACCACCATATCCAAAACGGTCACCGRCAATAAAAGGTAAAAGCACCTATAGAACGGCCAGTACAGTCCTTTATTATTATGAAAATTCTGCATAAAGTATAAAGCGTATAAAGAGCGAAAGTTAAGTAGGCCAGTGTTTTCACGATGAGTGCAGCAGCCGAGGTTTTTCACAAGAGGGTCTCAATGCGGTTAACCGTGAGCCGTGAAACGGCTGAAAAATTAGCCGTTAGTCGTGAAAATGCGAAAAAATTAGCCGTGAGTCGTGAATATTTTTTTATAGCGTGAGCCGTGATTCAGTTTTGTCCCTCAGAAGGACAGTCAACTCCGATGCAGGCGCGCGCTTGTAATTTTTTTTGTAAATTTTTTTGTAAATGCTTCGCAGAGTAGCTCATTTAGTGCATCGAAGACCTTAATTGAGCGGGAGCCTGCGTCACGCTAAGTGTGGCAAGAAACTAAAGCTGCTCGAAATAGAACGTTACAATATTGAATCGACATCTTTTTTTAGATTGCTAATAAAGTTATAAAATGTTTTTTAATTCTTAGATAGTATTTTTGGGATTTGTTTGTACATTTTAAAACTCCCGCTCATTTAGTGCATCGAAGACCTTAATTGAGCGGGAGCCTTCGTCACGCTACCCTGGTCCCAGAGGTTTTCTTTTCTCTTCTTTTCTAGATGTTTTTTATCGTATTTTTGTCTTTGTTTTTTATATTTCTTGCGACGTTCTTTTCTAGATGTTTTTTATCGTATTTTTGTCTTTGTTTTTTATATTTAACGTCGTGCGACAAGAAGCTATAAAGCTGCTCGAAACAAAAAAACAAAACTAGCACTCATTTAGTATGYTAGTACATCGAAGACTTTGAACGGGAGCCGATCATATATCCACTTCGTAAAAAAAAAGACTCGGGAAAGTGAAACACAAGAGATGACAATAATTATGGAAAAATAAATAAATTAAAAAAAAAGATAAACACTAAATTAAATAAAAAGGAAAAAATAAAATCATTAAACGTCTCCTCCAGGGAATCGATCCCGCTACCGTCAAACCTACATTGGATTTGCAAGAGGCGCCTTAACGCGGTGCGCCACTGGATCACTTCATTTACATAATAATAGACCACTTGACACTTTCGCCGAATAGACTACCCCAATTTGACATTATACTTTCGATAGTTGCCTAGTTAGTGCAAGGGGTTATCCATCAGTGTCTAGGGGCCGGATAGCTTCTCCCTCACTGGCTTTTTTAGTTAGCGCGAAGTTAGGACCAATTATCGGGATAGCATGGAAGAGCCGAAATCTCTAACCGGAATGTAAATCGATTCGCCGCCTCAGCTTCACAGAATGTCTCGGGGGAATCGTCCCAACCTTTTTTCGATTTTATGGTCATGGGTTCGAATCCAAATACTCAAGTTTTTTTCTTTTTTCATATTTCTTTTTTTTTTTTTGCTTTTTGTTGTTGTCTTTGAATTAGCTTCCCATGCATTAAAATGTTTAATTACAAAATCTGCAGAATCATTTAGTAATTACTTCTAAATATTTTCTATAATGTGATATTTTAAAGCGCGCTTTCATTGGCTTGTTTTTATTAAACGTGTAATAAGTTTTCACAGATATGGTATATATCTGACATTTTAAAGTAATTATATAAGATATCGATCTTAAAATACTATAATTTTGTTTAGAGTCAAATAATAATATGAATACGCTACAAACTTCCTAATTTTACCATGCACATTTAGCCCGGCATAGAATACATCATCGCGAAAAGCGACACTTAATGAAATTTCGTAAACTCCGATGTCAGACCATGTCAGACACGGACTGCAGCAATGTCACTACTATGTTCTCAATACCTGCTATGTTTAACACTTTTTGGATTTTTTTGTGTGTATTATGAATTTATGATTAATCATTTTTTCCTGGAAATAGTCACATTTCGGCTTATTTGAAATAGAAAAATCCATGTCTGTACGAATAAGTCACGCAGTCTATTCATACGAAAAGAAAGCAATGAAAAACGTAATTCAAAAATTTCTAAAAGTAATCTAGTTAACCGTGATTCGAAAAAAATTAGTCGTGAGTCGTGAAATCKCAAAATTTCTAGCCGTGAGTCGTGATGCGTACCACCCCATTGAGACCCTCTCACAAGTGCAGTAGGCGAGTTGTCTTGTCCTCTCCATATCCCATCATGCTTAGAGTACAGAGACACAAGCGGTTTTTTAATCTTGTATTGCATTGTATAATATCTTTTTTTTATCTTAACTAGTAAAAATACATATCAAAGAATTGCCCCACAAAAGTTCTCCTTCGTTTATCAGCCATATATGGTAATCTTACCTTATTTGGAAGTTCGATAGGAATGGTTTTTGTCGATTTTCTCGACTTTTAAAGCTTTAAATCGTCAGAAAATTGCAGATATTATAGCGAAAACACTTCTAAACAATCCGCCATTTTTTTTGTTTCCATATATGGCATGGATTCGCTAAAGGAAGCCCAAAACTAAAAAGCACAGGGAACCCGCACGAATGACATACAATTCTTTGATATGCAGAGAAACAGAGAATGATCAGTTTTAAAAAGAAAGGAAACGCTTCGGAAATATTAACTGAACGTATTAGAGTAAAAACACTAAAAATGTGCAACATAAATACCACTAAATTAAATACTGCTAAATTATGCTAATTCTATTGTTTTCAATTGTTTAATTAACACTATTTTGTAGTAAATATGGTAAAGTGTTGCACGCATTTAATGTTTGCACTCTATAATATTTATTCTAGATAAGGAATCAACGCCAGGTTTGACAATTATTCTTGTCGCGACCGTGCTAAGCTGCATTGTTTGTGCTCTGTTGGGTTGGATTTATCGACGAAGACAGCGAGCTCAGTCGATTGAAGGTGAGGAATTTTATAACCTATTCTTAAAATTCATCTACAAGCGGCAATAGCCTCGTTCCTAGGATAGAAAACAATAGAATAAACAATAAATTTACACATTGATTCGAGGCTATTCCCGCCTATCACTGGAAAAATCGCGCGCCATAAAGGTTGTAAATTTCATGTAAATATGATGTAAGTGTCCAAAATGATGTAAATTTGATGTAAATCATTTCCATCAAATTTACATCATTTTGGACACTTACATCATATTTCCATCAAATTTACAACCTTTATGGCGCGCGATTTTTTCCAGTGCTATACGGGAATTATAAGAACAGTCAATTGTCATTGTAATTAT